CATAAGTATATAGGGGATCAATTTATCCGTCAAATGAAGCAAGAATTTTTGAATCTGAAACAGATGAATCACAGTGTATGAGTACGAGTGCGAGTTTAATAAGTTAAGTCGTTTTGCGGCTGAGTTGATTCCAACAGAGAAGGATGTGTGTGAGTGGTTTGTAGAGGGCTTGCACCCAAGGTTGAAAGAAATGCTAATAGTATTGAACTTGTCCTCATTTCAAGAAATAGTAAATCGTGCTAAAGCTCTAGAGAGAGCTCAGAATGAAAGGTTTGGGGATCAAAGAACCCAATCATCTAAAAGAACTGGGGCTTTATCGAGTTCTGCACCACCCAAGAGGGGTAGAGATTCTGGTACTCAGTCTCAGGCAAGGTCTGGAGGGGTAGAATCCTCCGTTAGAGAATCAAATCAGGGGAAAGTTAGACAGACCCAATCAGTAGGATTTGGTGAGGACAGAACCCAACAGAGACATTGTCAGACTTGTGGAAAATATCATGGTGGAATATGTAGGGTAGAATCCGGAGCTTGTTTCCGATGTGGTGAAATGGGACATTTTGTGAGAGATTGCCCATTGGGGAAAGGAGAACCAGTACAGTCGGAACGATCTGTTATGATACCTGGGAGAGGGAGAAGGAGAGGAAGAGGTAGGAGCCAATCTGAATCTTCTACTCAACAAGAAATACGCTCCACTGCTCGAATGTATAATATCAATACCAATGAAGATTTTGATGATCCGGAGATAATAGCATGTATCTTTCTAGTGTGAAATAAATACATTATGATAATGATTGATTTAGGCTTGCATGTTTATATATTAGTAGTAAATTGGTGAAAGAATTGAGAATTCAATTAGAAGTTATTTATAGTAATATGACAGTGACAAATATATTAGGGTACAGTGTGTGGATAAGTAAGATATATGGAAAGTGTCCCATTATAATTCGGAGAATTTAATTTCTTACTAAATTGATGAATTGTTATTCAATGAATTTGAAGTAAGATTGGAAATAAACCAGTAGTATAATGTTAGAGGATTTATATCGTTCTGAAATAGAATAGTTTCTTTGCTGCATTGATAAAATAAGGTATAGAGGGATGATTCTTATAAGGAGAATATTAAAAGATCGAATGATGCAGAATATTGTTATAGGAAAGTTTAAGAATATGTACGTCAGTGATTTACATTATAGATGGATTATTGGTATGGAGTGATGAGACTAGAGGTTACTGTCTATATAATGAGTTATATTATATGGATTTTAAGAAAGGTTAAAGTAAAATGCATTGGAGATGTGTAGACAATATCTTATCTCCTGGTGTAAGGAAAATTCGAGGACGAATTTTCTTAAGGGGGGAAGATTTGTAACATCCCAAAATACGGGTAAGTGACCAAAATTGTAAAATTTCATAATATGGTGATTAAAGTATAATAGTTTAATAGTTTAATGATTTGTCAGAAATATTTCCTAAAAGTTTATTGTAATTATCTAAAGAGTTAAAGGGCAAATTGGTCATTAGACTTGAAAATATAATTAAATGATATATATATATGGATAAGGATGGAGATTTTTCCAGAAAAATCTCTTCTCTCTTTTCCTTCTTCATTTTTCTCTTCACGTGTGAAGCCAAGCAAAAGGTAAGTTGTCTCTTGAGTTGATTATGTGCTGAAATTTAAGTTTAGTTTTGATTATTAGATGCTAAGTAAGATTAAGGAAGGATTAATTTGCTTTAAAACAACAAAATGAAGAGTTTATGAGGATTTAAAGATTAGGAGTTTTGGAATGAAATATTGAAATAAAGTGTATATTGAGAATTGAAAGTTGAATTTGACTTGTAATCAAGTTAATTAAGGGATAGGAAGTGTTAGAATAGGAATTTGAACATGTTGCAAAACTAGTAGAATTTTTGTAATTACATAGGAATGACTATATTTGAAGTTAAAGAAGTGATTATGGAATAGAAATAAGTTTAAGTATGTGTATTAATGTTAGGAGTATTAAGGGAGGTAAAATAGGAAGGTTAGAATTGAAAATTGATGATTTTCGAGCTTAGAATGCAATTTCTGGGTAGAGGGAACCGATACCCTATGAATGGGAATCGATTCCCCTTCTTGAACGAAAAATTTCCAGAATGTTAAGGGGGTACCGATTCCCCTGGGGGGGGGGTATCGATTCCCCCCTAAATAAAAATTCAGAATTCAATTTATTAAACCGGTTTAAGTTATTAACATCAAGTTTAAAGTTTAGGCTTCTGATAGTTGTTTTGAAATGATATATTTATGTAGATATTGAGCCTAAACAAGTTCCGGAATAATCGAATCAAAGCAAGGCTAAGGTGAGTGCAATTTAAATTGTACTTATGTGATTGATCAAACATTGGCTTGCGATGAGTCAATGATAGAGTTACTATGGTAAGAAGTAACTTATATAATGTTATGTGATTACTCTGTATGCATTAGTACATAGAAATGGATGTTATGTTTATATGTTACATGATTTACATGCTTACATGAAAATGCAACATATGATATTAGATATGTGTTTACACATACATTTGGTATGTGATAAGAAGAGAATGAACATGTGATTATGAGATCAAGGATTACACGTATATGTGATACGTGACTGAAAAGAAACGGTATGTGTTTATAAGAGTAAGAATATGAATAAGTAATGTGAACGGTCATAAATGATAATGCCCATGTTATGTGATATGAGAGCTAGGGGTATAGTTGGCATGCCAAGGGTCGAGGGTTACCTATGTTCTTCGGGACATATGGACTGTTTACCTATGTTCTTCGGGACATATGGACTGTTTACCTATGTTCTTCGGGACATATGGACTGTTTACCTAGGTTCTTCGGAATCTATGGACTGGTCCTTCGGGACATTGATCGAGCTGTTGTGACAGCATAGTGGTGCACAACCTCAATGTACTCACATACCTTGAGTTCTCAAAAGTATACATGGGCTAATACATGGTCTTTACAGAGAGTAAATAAATAAATTGATTTGCTACTATGTATGTTTTGTTGTGAAGTAGTATATGTGTTCCATGGTATGTAGAGAAATGTTCGATATATGTATTTATATGATAAAAAGGTACTAAAAGTACTTATATTATCTCAGGTTATCATGTATACTGAATTATATGCGACTCGATTGAATTCATAGATTGAATGTTTATATTTATGAGAAATGCATTATTGTTATTATGTTTTTGCTTCACTAAGTCTATGACTTAGCGTGTAAGTGATTTACACGTAGGTACTGAGAAGCAGAAGGATCAAAGCTAAGTTCAAAGTAACAACATATCTCTGCCCAAAGACCAGATCAGAAGTAAATTACACAGTATGTATTATTATGATAAATAGGTTGGCATGTAAATAAAGTAGGCAAATTAGGTAGTATGCTCTGATCGAGTTTTGTAATCTGTTAAACATATATATATAAGTACGAATGCAAAGAAATGAACTGTTAAATGTTTTACGAGTGTTATGTACAATTTACGAAAAATCACTGTAGTAGGTTACTGTATTACTGTTCATACCGTATTTCACCGTTCATAAATACGTTTTATCTCAAACTTTTATTCAACACACAATTGAATAATATTTGACTGTATTTTCTTAATATAAATTCAAATGTTCAGTACTTTTACAAGAGTAAAGGTTTTGAAAATGTCAATGTGACATCTCGGACCCGTATTCAAGTCGGGTACGGGTTGGGGTGTTACAGCTAGGGTATTTATAGTTGAAGTTTTAAGGACTAATTTGTAAATACCCTAAATTACAATGGCTAAAAATAAGATTTTACCATTGCTGAAAATTCAACAATAGCTGCTGTCCCCCCTTTTTTTCAAGCAGCACCGAAAGTTGCATTTATTATGCACACTTTCGGTGCATAGTCAACAATAATAGCATGCCTGGGAATATGAAGGGGAAACCAAATCAACCTATGCCATAAAACCACCTCCCCTTTGGAACGAGCCTCAGACCATAACAAAGAAGTGGTAACTACTCCCCAATTAGTCACAGACTCAAGCAAAGGGGAAGCCTCCTTACTCAAATTGAGTATCTTCTTCACACACCAACTAAAATGACTCTTAACGACTGCTTGTCACACATAGACACCCTTCAGGACATGGGCTTGTATCCAAGCAACCCACAATGAGCCTTATCCTAATAAGATACTTCTTATGATGGAAAAAAGACATGCCTTGTTCCAAATCTTCAACTCTCTCAACCCAAGCCCTCCCCTCGACTTAGGGGAACAAGTCTGCCGTCAGTTGACCTTAGCCCCAGCAATAAAAGAGTCAGCCCCCTTCCAAAAGAACTGTGCATATAGTTGCTCAATAATTTTGATGACAAACCGAGGCAACACAAGCTGCCCACACTAGTAATTGGTCCCACTAAACAAGACAACTCAGATGAGTTACCACCTACCTACGTAACTAAGATTAAGATTACATCAATGCCCAATCTAACTCTAATATATGCAATGAGATGATATTTAATTTAACCAAATTTTATTACAAGTAATGGGCATTATTTTTCATTTAGGTCTAAGTATTTTTCTTTATTTTTATTAGATAATTTATGGTATATGAGTATTTTTTTAGTTGGATTTGATTTTAGAACATTAATAAACTAATTTATTTCATTCATTAAGCTCATCAGTTCTTTAGAATGTGTTTAGAAGTTACAATATAATTATATGAGAAACATAATTACCACCATATTAACTTAATGATAAATATTTTTATATCTCTTATTAATAATTTATTTTTTAAAAAAGGTTTCATAAATTTATCTCTCCTAAAAGTTTATAAGTTAAAGTTACACTAAAAACAAACACGCTTTTGCTATAAAAGTTGAGAAGTGCATGAAAGAAAACCCCTTTTGAGACTTTGAACTTTCTCTGCTTATAATATTCATTTTGCATTGTGCATTAAAAATAAATGCTGTGCTAAATTTGTAGTCAAAAGGGTTCTTTTTAGTTCTTTCTGGGTTTGATACAAAAATGAATAAAGAATAGTTATCCAATTGTATGAATAATATATTATTCATGGAACTGCATAACTTTAGGCGCAAACTTCATCAACCTGTACAAAGCATCGGGCGAGAACTTTCTGGCGAACAAGTGACACACATTTGTTGTGTTCCCATTGTACTCGCATTGGCTTTGGCTCCTCAATCTCTCCAAAAATTCAACCGTCACATTTGTCCTTATGAACTTGGCTGGATGAGGCCCTCCTTTCGACCAATCAACCCATGTTAATGTTCTGTTGGAATTCTTGTTCCCGAATTTCGTGGTTATAAACGTCGGCAGATAATGCTCATCGGCATAGCATGCACCCCTGCAATACTTTTGGAACACCGGGAAATATACCTGGTCCGACACAACTTCGAGTGCGAGGTCTCGGTCCATCTCGAACCATTGGGCTCCTTTCCTCCATTGATGAAGCGTGACCTGAGGTCTCATTCTCCGATTGTAACGACCTCGGCCGACAGGGCCTGGTAAATCGTACGATTCCACGAAACTACGGGAGGAGTTGATGAGGTAAGAGTAGACGGTGGAGAAGTTAAAGAGCGGAATACATGCTTCAGATAGAAGAACGAATCTTTGGTTCGAGAAATCGAGGAATGCATTGGCTAGAAGCCGGCGCTCGGCTTCAATCATGTTCACATTGCCCCATTCAACTTCCTGTATGACGATCACCGGGTCATTGTTACAACCAGGACATAACTGTAGGTAAATGGACATGAAAATGAAAGTGGCAAGACAAAAGTGGAACCTAATTTGGCTGTCCTGTAATGCCTTTAATGCAGGGCATCTACCTTTCAATGTTGTACTTATTACGTATGCACATGGTCCTTTAAATGATCGTGAGCCATCAAATTCAGGGGATCAATGAATCTTCTCTCTTTATTTTAAGTACAAAAGGAGATTAAAGTCAACAAAATTTAAAACCTTTTTGGATTAAACCAAGACATTGTGAATCTGTTTTGGACAAAGAGAAAGAATGAGAATTCATTGCCGGCCAAAAGGATTTCATATTTGTTTTATCAATCCAAAAGTATTTTTATATTCATTTAAGAGTCCGACCCGATTCGACAACAAATATAATAGAGGCTTGTATGATTACCAAGACTAATAATTACTTAACGAAACAAATATTATTTATGATACAATCTTTATTATTATAATATTAATGGACTGTTAGCAATAAACAAATAACTTCTATGATGTTCTCCTAGGGCAGGATTCATTATGAGACTTAGCAACTGTGAATGCAATTGCAGATATGAATATATTATATGTTTGACATAAATGAATAAAAACAAATGAGAAGAGAATTAAAAATCTGACCTGGCTGGGAATTCTTCTGCCATGGAACACTGATCCCTCAGGCTCTGATAGATTAAAAGATGGATCCGAGTGCACATAGATAGAATACAGCCCTTGATGCCCTTTGAAGAATTTCTCCCACAATGGAGCCAATGTAACAGGCCCTTTCGTCAAGAACATGAAAGCCACCTTAGGAACTCGATCGAACGGATACTGCCCGATCCGAGGAGACATTGAAGCCCTCCATAGAAGCTCTTTATCGTCCATGTCGTGCATCGCATTCGGCGGCACGAGGAATTCCGTTAATCCAACACGCGAGGCTGTTTCATTAATCGGCGGAGGCGGCTGCGCCGGTCTCGAAGTGGAAGGCAACTGTGTGATGTGAAGAGCAAAAGAATAGTTCTTGAGTTGAAAACTGAGAATGACTCCGAGAGAGAGGCCACAACCGAATAACAAGAAACAAGAAAGGATATTGAAGAAATGCATTTGCGCATTGAAGAGCTTCCAGAATGAGATTACATGATTATTGCTGTTTTCACCCTTCATTTTCCTTTTTTTTATTAAAAAAAACAGGGTGTTTATTTCAGAATGAAACTCAGCTATATATATATATATATATGAAGAAACTGGAAGAAAGACTTGTTAAGGAGAAAAGGGATTTTTCATCTGTCACTCAAAAAACAGTTCTTTTCTTCGAGGACAAGAGATGCCAAATGCCAAAAAGGAAATTCCAGGAGAGATTTAGAGAAATGAAAACCCAGGAAGGAAATACTGAAAGAAGGGGTGTTGAATATTGAGAGGGATTGAAGAGGGCTCAGCTGGGTGGGATTTATGTCTAAATGGGGAGGCTTGACTGGCTGCCAGCCAGTCTAGACCATTGGAAAAACGCGATGGCCAAGTCGCATAAAAGATACAAGCCAAAACTGCCATTTAATTTGTTAAATTCAACGTTAAAGAGAAACTTTTATTCCAGGTTAAGCAATTAAAGATGAAAGCGGTTCAGTTTTCGTTACGTTTCTTGTTTTTAATTACGCCTGTTATGGGGAATCGGTGATTAAACCGTTTCTACGTGCTGGATCATGCATGGCTGCCGGTATTTGAAAAGTCCCATGTGCTTTCCTTTTTCTTTCGCCTAAATTATGAGTGTTCTGCTCTATTTTTTAATGATATTTTTATTAGTCTAAATTAGTTATAAAATAATACATGCTTAATTTATTAATAATATATATTCTACTAAAATTTTGGCCTGTAATTCCAAGCAATTGAAGTGGGTTAATTTGCGTGTTGGATTGACCAACAACCCCAAACGCAACACCATAATTGCATTCATGGCTCATGGTCCAGATTTCGTCTTGGAATTTTTGTCTTTTGGTTTTCGGTTTTCGGAGAAAAGACCGATACAGAGCCAAACGCGTTTCTTGTTGTATTAGACGAAATCCTGATATGACCCCTGGAGTATGTCAATCTTTTCATTTTGATACCAATTTTTTTTCACTTTAGTGCCTGAATTATCATTCACTATTCAAAAAGTTAACGGTTTAGTGCGATCCTTTTAACCTTTTTTTATTATTAATTTAGAGTAAGTATAGTACAGTATCTGTTTATAGATATATAACTTTCTACTATTTGAAATTGAACGTTCATATTCCTGATATTTTTAGTACTTAAATCCGGGATCTTAAGGAATACCACTGAGGTCGCTCGGTTCGTGCTTCTGAATATATTTTTAAATTGCTAGAATGAGATATTGTGATCCTTCTAACCTTTAATTGTTCCTTTTTTAATCAATTTAACCTAAATGTGATGAAATAATAACCATACCCTTGTAGAAATGGTTGTATTTACTCTCTTTCTTTTTCTTTTTTTAATTAAATTAAGGTGATTACAAAATAATATGTGTTTTAAATACTCTCAATCACCTACTACAATCGTTAGTGTTCAAACATGTGACTTCTAAAAACAACAACAATTTTTTTAACTACTGAGATAAGTTGGTTCGTGTTTGTTCTTCAATATATATATATATATATATATATAACAATTATGGTCGGTATATAACGGGCACGGCTGCTCTTTAGGGGAATCACGTGGGGAAATGGAGCAGACCATGATGTTAACTGTGATGTGCCCTATAATCAGTTACTATTTGCCAATTAATTATTAGAAAAGAAGAAGAAGATTAGCAACCTGGTCACATGAATATTATTGTGCAACCCTAAGGTTTCAGTTATATGTTGAATGTCGGCCGTGTTTTAATTAATCACCCTTAAAGAAAGTGATTTATGTAACTCTCATACGATTAGTTTAATATTATTTTAAAATGTTGATAAAGAAGTATTTTTAAATAGTGTTTCTAAATTATTTAAATTAAAATTTAAATGTTTAATATTATTATTAAAATATACTTTGAGAAGATAAATAGTTATTTTAAATATGATGTATAAATTTCACAAACTAATTTACATCAATGGTTAAAAGAATCGTTGTTGTTCTTAAAAGTCACGACTTCGAGCACAATTATAAATATTGTGCTCGAAAGGATGTGATTACTGATTAAGATATGAGTTCCACATTTATAATAAATATCATATCACTGGAAAGAAAATTGGAAGGAAGGGCTGAAATATTTCATTACTAGAATACGCACTTTTCAAAATATAAATATATAAGAAAATATAATATCAAACATATTTAAATGATGAGTTTCTTTTCGTTTACGGATAGAAGTGCTTTTTCTGAATAATCTAGAATGTTTATAAGATAATATATGTTTATAATTATTAACAACGCGTACACACAAAATAGACGTAATTACTTGAATCTAAGACTTCTGAAAAGAATAATACTCTCTTTTACAGATGAGACCACTTAATGAGTTAATAATAGAAAAGACTTGAATAATACATGTATTGTATCAAATATATAAATTTAAGTTGATTAACATAATTGTCGGTATAATATACCAAAAAACGTTATATATGTTGTAACGGTCCTTAAGCTCAACGACTTCGATAGTTTTGAAAATGCATGCGAATTCGTGTTTCATTGGAGAACTCGATTTTTGAAAATAAGATTTAGAGTTGTCACGATCATTTGAGGATATGTATAATCGAACACCTATGAAATCATCCTTTAAAAGAAAATTTTGGAAACCTCTTATTAAAATATGAATTTTACCAAAAATTGAAAAAGAGTTCAAGAGTCATTATGTAACACTCTCGATTCGGTCTAGAAGTCGAACAAGAATCAAAGAATATCACATTACTAAACTTTTAAGTATTTTTTTGGAAACTTAAAGCGTCTCATTAAAAACTCCTCCTAACCAACACTAAAGTGTTGGATCTATGAGAGAAAAAGAATACCTCTAAACTTATAAGCTCATCAAGAGTGAGCAACTCCAAATTTTTGGCTTCTTCGATGGCGGTAGCCTTTCCTTCCCAAGATATTGGTAAGGAAGAGTGTTTCTTTGTCACTACTCCTTCATTGGATAAACCTTCCCAAAACCTTTAAGCTCGTTGATGATTGAAATAAACTGATCGGACATCGTCTTTATGTCTTCGTCGAGCTTTATCTTGAAGTTCTCATAGTTGAGAGTGAGAATGTCAATCTTTGAATTCTTTATTTAGCTTAATTCTTCATTTAGCTTGTTCCTTCATGAGTCACCTCGAACTTGTCCCAAATATCTTTGGCGTTAGAGCATACAAATACTCTACTCTATTCATCAGAGCCAAGAGCACAAAAGAGAATGTGTGTGGCTTTAGCATTGAGTTAGACAAGCTTCTTATCTTTATTTGTCCATTCCGATCAATTTCTTGGAGAGGTGGGAGAACCATCGATGATAACATCTCAAACTGTAAGACCAGTGCCTTGGATGAAAAATATTATTCTATTCGCCTGATAGGAGTAATTTGCTCTATTGAAGTAAAGAGGCATTGTGATGGAGTGGGAGTTCTCAAGATAATTGGGGTTGAATATGGAAGTCATCTTTTTGGTTGCGTTGAGAAATTATAGAGCTTCTTCAAGGATCGTTTCAAGAGGTTGTAAAACCTTTAAATGATTCATGCTATGATACCGATTGTTAGGATTTTTGAGGCTCTATGAACAATCAAAAATATAGCCAAGAGATGGTAAATTGACATTTTGAACATTTTGGGAATATAGTAAAAGATATATAATAGGCATAAGATTTAGAGTGGTTCAACTTTTTCAATAAAGTTAACATCCACTACCTTAGCTTCACATTAAAGATTTTCTAACAAATTAACTAATTTGTTCTTTCTTTTTCTAGGCTAAAGAGTAAATTAAAAAACCTTTTAAAGGCAGGTGTTTACAAATTGTGCTCACAAAAGCATACTATGTACAAGAGAAAAGAAAGATTAAAGAATGAAAAAGATTTTGTAGCACCCCAACTCGTATCCGACCCATATCCGAGTCTGAGGTGTCACATTGACTTTTCAAAGCTTTCTCCTTTACAAATTGGTTAAAATTTAAATTCACAATTCAAGAAAATGAATATTTTACATTAATTAAAATCAATTGGTTTTACAAAACATATCAGAGCTTATACAATTCAAATTTTTAGACTACATGCCAACTACATTCTATGTAACAAAATACATGTATTCATATACATTTCTGATCTGATCTTGGAAAGGAGAATCTGACCTGTCTTGCTCCTCTTCGCTCCATAATCTCGTCGAAACCTACGTGTGAAACATTCACACGCTAAGTCTATGACTTAGTGAGGCATATAAAACATATAATGTAAACTCTAACTCATATCAATGCATGAACAATTAATACTATCATATCATATAAAAGCATATATCCTTTCATATAACAAATACACACATGCACATATATCATCATCTTTATTCTTAGCATAATCAATAATTTCTTTTATCATATGATCCTATACTTATCATTTATAACATCATATATCACACATATCACTTCAAAAGGAAATAAACATATTATCATATCAAGTTTATTTATATTATCTATTTATTAGCCCATGAACACATGTGAGACTAAAGATATATGAGCACATAGAGTTTGTGCACATATGCTGCCACCACAGCTCATATAATTCCCATTAGGGGCACATAAGATTTGCCCCGAAGGACCACATATAACACATATGTCCTGAAGGACCACATATAACACATATGTCCCGAAGGACCACTCCTTAAGGACCACACACATATTCTAATGGATCAAATAAGTGTACCGAAGTACCACATATATGTTCCAAAGGATTACATATATGTCCCGAAGAACCACGTAGAACCCTCGACTCTTGGCATACCAACTATACCTCTAGCTCTCATGACCCGTAACATGGGCATTATAATTATATTTATCACATACTCATCTATTCATATCACATAGCTCATATAATACTTTCATGTAATCACATATCTCTTTTCACGTGTCTTATCTCTTGTACTCATGTAATCATGTCACTTATTTTCACATAACTCATTGTCACGTGGCTTATCTCATATACATATGTTCACATACTTTATGGTCACATTGCTTATACCTTTTCATACATAGTCACATAGGTCAATATTATTTAGCTTATTTCACCTTTCATATATTCATATAATTCATTAGCACATAATTGATATCTTAATTACATAACATTCATTCACACAAATCATATAACATGTACAATAACATATCACACAAATACTCATTATCAATAACATGCTTAT